GACAGACAGACAGACAGACAGACAGACAGACAGACAGACAGACAGACAGACAGACAGACAGACAGAGACAGACAGAGACAGAGACAGAGACAGAGACAGAGACAGAGACAGAGACAGAGACAGACAGAGACAGAGAGAGAGAGAGAGAGACTGAGAGAGCGGGCGCGGCACTTGGACGCTGCAACAGCTGAGAGAAGGTGCCTTTGAAAGTTACGCAGCAACAATATGTAAACAACGAAGCACTGAGAACAAGACGCGGCCGCTAGCCCCAACCCTTCGAGGACAAACTCTTAGATCCTTACAATGCCGCACAGGGTTTGGCTGTCGCCCCTTTGCGCATACTGCCAGCATGCGGAGATGGAAAGCAAAGGCCGCAAAGAAAGGAATCCAATTCGAGAGCTTCCGGGATGGAGTTTTTGCCCGGATGCCAACCACGAGTTCTTGGATCTGGGATGCTTGAATAGACAAGCCTTCGCCTTCCACCCGGTTCATGCACCGTGCTCAGACGTCGCCGATGTTAGCAAGGTATGCGCAAACAGGCGCGTCATTAGACACCCGCCCTAGGTGTAAGCTTAGCCGGTGGTGTCGCAGGAGCTCGGTAGGGGTCTGGAAGCCGAGGCCAAGCTACAATGGCACACGCAGGTGTACATAGCATATAAACTGCATGCAGCACTGACATGTATCGCAGTGTTTGTGTGTGCGCACCCACATGAGTATGTACGAATGTTCGCATATTCGTACTTATTTTTCGTAGGTAATAGTCACACATGTACAGACAGACATGCATACATACACATGCCTTGGTTACATGCACATTCATATGTACATGTGTATGTATAGCAGGCATGCACATATTCACACTGGCAGGAATTGTCAGAGATGCAAGAGGACAAGCGTGAATAGCGCATAGCGGCATAGCTGTCAGCATGCGTCGATGTAATAGGCATACATAGCTTTCTCCGTGTTCTCGTACAGGCAAGTGCTTCCGACTTCCCATCGGCTTCTTAGAGGTGTGCAAGCTCAACCATAATGCCGACCATAAAAGAAGCCACACTGCTGGATGCTTTTGAACCCGGAACTTCCTGGTTCAACCCCCCGTCCGAAGTCAAGTAGGACCTCGAGCTCCAGAGGTGCAAGAGCCCATGGACGACTGCCTGGACCGTAGCTGGAGCTGGTTTTGCAGTCACATGTTGGAATCCGCCATGACGGGCTCGAAGTTTCAGCGGCCCAAAGCCCGAAGCCTTCCGAGACAAGCACAAAACCAAATCCCAAGTCTCAAGTTTGTGGCTTAGCCTTTTTCCTCGCTGCTACTTGTTCAGCCGGTGAAGATGGCCTTCCAACAGGCCTGAGAGCCTAGGGTGCGGAGAGCCATCCCGAGCCTGCTGGTGCTCTCGGGACTGTCCCGAGCTCTTCATGAACACTCTTTGTGGAAGGACGTGACCGGATGGAACACGGCCATCGCCGAGCAGGGACGCGCCAAACACTGGCACAGTGCCACCGGGCTGCTTGTGACGGGGCCGTTGGTGAACCCAGTTCCAGGGGCTGCGTTGCTTACGGTCTCAAGCGATTGTTCTCGATTGGACTCCGAGCAGGAAATGCAATCTCACGGCCTGCCATGCACTTCATGCATTGGACTTGGGCGTTACAACCTAGTTCGCGAAGATCCCCTTTGGCTTACCACTACGATCCCCTGACTGGTTGCGACACATTGGTGTTATCGTAAGCCAAGCGCTCCAAGCCAAGACATGATTCTCAGAAGTCCCACGTCAATGTTCCACGGGCTCTAAGGCCATACAGGTGCTGGAGCAGGGAGAGGCAGACAGCGTGTACCTTCGAGAGTCGTGTTACACGTGCAGAGCTCTGAAAAGTTTTGGGTTTCTGAGGTCCTTTACTTGCGGTGTTCGGGAGTGTGTAATTTTCCCGGAAGCAGCCCGCTGAGTGCGCTGGGAAGAGCCTGGAATAAAGTGAAGAAGAGGAGGCTAGTTCGGTATGGTGAAAGCTGGGGTCAGGATGAACTTGTCCCAGTTTCAATGTAACGGGATTGTGTTGTCGACATAAGAAGCCACGAGTCGGAGACTTTTGCGATCCCTTCATTGACGGATACCAAATGAGGGCAGAGTCGAAGAGAGTCAGGGTGCCAGTGGGCAGACCAAGTTGCCATTTGCTAAGCTCCATGCTCTTCACAAGCTCAAGCACTCCTCCAGGAAAACCGCGAGCATCCCAATGCTGTGACGCTGAATGCGGTCATGGGTGCTTGCCTCCCGACGCAATCTGAGTCTGGCGGAGGTTGGCTGCAGCTTCAGAGGTTGAGCTTTTCCAGGGGCCCTACCCCCAAATCCTGGTAGGGCAAGGAAGTGCGATGTATCCAGACCTGTCCGAGCTGCATATTTGCAATATGTTCGCATGCTTCGACTGCGATAAAGTCAGAGGCATCAGAGACGTCAGGTGATCGTGCTTCCCAGTGGCAGTACGCTCTATCGCTGCTGTGCTGGAAATTGAGGAGAGCTCGGGGCAACTTACGGGGTGGCACGACTCTATCAACATTGCATCAGCAGGAAAGCACAACAACACAACAGCGATTGGGCTTGGAGAACTTCTTCAGCCAATCCAGCCAATCACCTACTGGTTCCAGGATCGAAGACTCACTTTCGGGTGCGAGATTTCGTGGACACCGACCCGAGAGCTAGTCCGAAAAGCTGAAGAATCTGAGGTTTCTGCGTTGCTTTCACGGGCGAGGCTTGCAGCCAGATGTCTCGGCCTTAGAGTAGTTTCATCATCACGAGATGCTGGGCAATCATTTGGTTCATGGATGTTGTCAAGCCAGGGTTTGGTTGCGCAAGGAAGTAAGCAACTGCAAGCATCTTTGCGCTACGACTGATCTGCACATGTCCATGTTCCATGCGTCTTTCGAAAGACCCACCGCCAACTTCACAGAACCTCAAGGCTTCTCAATACTGACCCCCCCATACTCAGACTGTGGCACCACTGCAAAACCGCTAAAGTTGTAGGTTCCCCAGACTCAGACACTTGATTCACCAGGTTGTCACCTACAACACGGCCCTGAGCGCCTGTGCCAAAGGCCGAACCATGTAGCTAAACTGCTTTGCTGCGTGCCCCAGGCAGCTTTGTTCGATGTCAAACTTGTCGTCCAGTAGGGTTGTCCAGGATTTGGTAGGAGCGCTGCTAGATAAGAGTAGCATGATAAGTTCCAAAAGCCTCGTGAATGGTGTGTCATGAATGGTGTGTTTCGGTCTAACTCGTGGGATGCCTTCGGAACCCGCCTACAGCTCTCAACCGCTGCGACACATGTTATTCTTCATGCTTGGCAGAACAGCTTGAAGGGGCCGGCCTGGCTTGATTTCATGGCTTTCCTCGGACCTCGGAACTCGTGCTGGCCATGAAACATGTAACCTTTGCCAAGACTGCTTTGAAAGAGGTCCACAAACAAAAGTCGGCAAGCTCTGCAGCACATAGCTGAAGCGACAAAGCCAGGCGTTTCAAACACCAGGCGGGCTTCGTACCAGTATCATCCACATGCATGGTTCTGCTTCCGACGTTCCTCAGGAGAAGGAGGAGGAGGAGGAGGGGGAGGGGAGCGGCCAGAACACAGAAAGCAAAACTTCAATATCCAAAGGCATTGGACTTGGGTCTGACGCGAGGCAGCCGCTGGCAGCTGGCTCTCGCTTTGCACCGATCTGGGCCCGGCTTCGCTGCAGCACCGGCCCTGCGGGCCTGCAGCCAAGGCTGGAGAAGCAAAAAAGGACATAAGTACCAATAGTACCACTATCCCACTACGCGCACGAACTTCTGAATGACAGGCTATGCGATGACTGGAATGCTCCGAACAGCAGGAACAAGACTTCTATCCAAATGGTAATTTCCCATCTTTGGTGTGCGGCTGTTAGATTTTAAACTCAGCCATTCTCCGGTCTACTCCTCGCCCGCTCTCCACCTGAGAATGCCACCAGAAGTTCATCTGCAGTGTGGGGATGCTTGAAGTAAAACAAACCATATTCGGCAGCCGCCACGAAGGGGAAAACGAGCTTTGGAATACTGTGCTCGGCAAGTATCTCTCAAGATCGTCCCGTCCCTTTGGTGTCTTTGTGCTTTGATGAATCTCGGAGTGGGAAGCTGAGTGGAGCAGAGGTTTTCACGACGGGAATTCGAAGCAGGTGAAGCCCCGAACGGATGGAAATCCAAAGCGGAATACACAAACCCAGCGGGAGCAGAAGAGCTGTCTCGAAGCCGAGTTCGAAACCCTGCGGACCAGGCCAGCAATGGCAGCTGGGTCTGGAATTCCTCAGGAGCCTCAGGGCCGAGGATTTGGACCTCCGGGCCTTCACCGCAGGGATGCAGGCACTGGGAATTCTGTGCGTTTCGACACTTCCGTAGAGCATGCAAAGGCCTGCTCGCTCGGGGGCTGCTGGCAATTGGCGCTGCAGCTCCTCCAAGAGATGGAAGGCACTGTTTGGATCGACCTGGTTGCAGTACTGTAGTCACCATAGTCTGTGCTTTGGCTGACCATTCTTCTTTGGAAGAGGCCTCCGGCACTCTGCAGATGCGATTGCCATCAGTGCTGCCATGGGCGCCTGCGAGTGTCTCGACCGAAGGGGATGTCAGATGTCAGCTTCGAGAAATTTGTGTTTCGAAGGCAGCCTCCCTCCACAAGCTCAGAAAACTCTTTACAAATCCTCAACAGTCAAGAGCAATCTGCAACCAGGAGTCGAAGGCATGCTCCGCAAAATCTTGATATAACCCGGTGTTACTAAAGAATGGTCAACTACCAGGTCTGAGCTCAAGCCGCTCAATCGCCGCAGACCCACCGCTTGCCCCACCATTTGAGATGGGCCCAACAAATTAGATGCATCCTCAGCCTCATTCTTGTCTAGAGACCTCCCAACATAAACCCTGCCCAATCTCGAAGTGTGTGCGATCGATCGCAGGAAGGCTGGCCACTGGGCTCAGGCTCTGGCCCTCTTTCGAGGCCTTCGCGGCCGTAGGCTGGAACCTGCGGCTCGACTCGAGCTGGCCCACCTCGAGAGCTCTGCTGGGGCGGCGGGGGGTGTGGGCTTGCAAGCCGAGGATGTCGTCAGCTTCAATTCAGCGCTGAGCAGCTGCGCCAAAGGAGCCCCGACGAATGCTGAGCGCGAAAGCATGTGCTTCATGACATGGTGAAGCTCAGGCTACATGAAGGGGCGCCTCCGCCAAGCCTAGTGAGTTGAAGCATTGCATCCAGGAGAGGCATGGCAGACAGCCTTGCAGCTTCTGTGGGAGGCTTGTAGAGCGCCTGGGCAAGGTCCGGGAAGAGGGGCCGTCTGCGCCGTAGGGGCGTCTGCAAGCTGATGGGTGGCCGCAGCATCTTAGGAAGTCCGTCCTGACGTCGTGACCTTCAACTCAGCCCTGTCAGCGACCTCCAGGGCCCATCTCTGGGAGGAGGCGAGGGAAAGAAGGAGACGTGAAGACGTGTCTCGTCTTTGTTTGCAAGCAAGAGAGAGTTCAACTCAGCCTTCAGGCGCTGCAGCTGCACGAGCTCCTCCAAACAGAGGTCCGACACCCTGAGGTTTTGCTGGGACCCTGCTGTAGAGAAGTCCATGAGTTGAACTGCAGGTTTTGGCCAACAGTGTGGTCCGTCTTACGGTGATCCAAGCCTGTGGGACCGCCACTTTGCATTCAGGGATCATCGTACACTGGCTGGCACTCCAGCATGCGAAGGATGCTGGAGCACTGGCAGAAGGCCGTTTCCTTCTTGCCGGAAGATGGTCGTGACGAGCAGGTGCCTTTTGCCAGCGGTGTGGCATGAACAGCACAGCGGGCAGAAGAGCAGCGCCATAGCACAGGAGAGCTGCAGCGCCGCAAATGCGGCGCTCGCAGCCGTGGGCTCCTGGGCTGCGGCGTTGCACCTCGTCGCCTCCATGACCATCTCGAGGCCCAAGATGAGCCCATCTCTGTGTCGTTAATGAAACAGAGGTTGAAGTTAGCTTCCGCTTGACATCAAGTGTGCATCAGCCAGGACCATGACACTGACTGTGTTTCTGCTGATCACAGTAGATCGCAGCCAGCTTTTGGCTCGCTGTTTAGCCGTGTCAATTGCAATGGCTCGCCAGCGCATGTTTGCAAAATTCCTCGTGTTATGTTTGGGCTTGGCCCGGGGCATCCGCGAATCAAGCCAGCGGGGCTTCGAATTGCCCCGGAACTGCGACAGTATGCCAGTGTGGTCTGACAAAAAGACTAAGAAGTGCTGCTCTTGCAGCACACGCCGATATCCGGACTCGGGTGATCAGGTGGACATGGTCCAAGCTTTCGAGTATTCTGACTTCGCTTGCCAGCTGCATAAGCATACGTGGGAGCGCAGGATTTGCTGCCCGCTGTGGGCCATCGACTGCAAGCCAGAAGACCCCCAATTTCAAGCCGGCTTGTCCAGAGACTGCCATGCTCCAAAGGAGGAATGCCAGAGGTATGAATGCAAAGATGTTTTCCAGGCACTGGCGGAGATCACTTCCAAGTTCGTCGAGGTCAATGGGTCGATCGGCGTCGAGCCCATCTGGGCCGAGACTTACATTTCCCAGGAAAGCAACCAAGGCTTTTTCTGCGATTGCGGATGTGGTGAGCTCGTGGACCGTGAGGCAAAAATCTGCAAGGCGCCGCTCTCTCTCTCTCTCTCCCTCTCTCTCTCCCTACCTCAAGCCACAGGCAACAAGCTGTAGGCTTGGACTTTGGAAACATACACACGTCTTCGTGACGGACCAAGCTCGCCGAGCACGGCTTCGTGAGGCCAAAAACGAGAACGCCACCTACTGCGGCGCCACCAGACCCTGCTGCACACGGATTTGGGACCCTTGCATGCGCGGTCAGGGTCAGAACATGTTGCTTCTGGCTGTTTTGCGCCAAGTGCTAGTTGGTATGTTGCTTCGAAATCTCTGTTGCTGTCCTTATGTATGTGTGTGCACGCACACCATGTTTGTTTTGCAACTGCCATTCCAAACGGACGAATTCAGTTTCTGTGGTGTCAGGACTGCGATGAGTCAGATCCCTGGCCAGAAGCCGTCACCAAACAGCAAAGAGCTGTTTGGTGGGGTGAGGCTGACCTCCAGAATGAGAAAGGCCGCTTGAGAGCCTTTGTTGCATTCCGGGACGGCAGGGGATCCGAGTGCCGAGTGCCTTTGGTGCCCTTTGCCCGTCCTTAGGACGGCTGCTTCGACAGCTCGAGAAGCTCGGGAGCCAATGCGTGGAGAGTTGTCAGGCCCAGCGCCACAATCAGTGCCTCCAGAAACTGACGGAAGTCGCCGAGAAGAAGCTCCTTGGCAAGGCCTGGGTCTGGCGGGCTGACAGGCTGGACTGTGCGGTGCTTGAAGATCCCATCCCTGCCCCTGTGCAGGACATCACTGTCCATCAGAAGCAGGAGGAAAAGAAGCTCAAAGCATTGGTGGAGCACAACAACCAGAATAGAGGGTGGTACTTCGACAGCTCTTCAAAATGGCTCGCCGAGTACCAGAAGAACCTAGACAAGAGCAAGCAGCCTGAAGGAAGGCAGTGGAATGAAAATGCACTGGCGCACCAGCTTGTGGTCATGGCGCCCCTGGTGCTGCCCTCACTTGGATCTGCTTTCTTAGTCTTCCGTGCCACGATGTAGCCAGAAACAGCCGCCCTCCCTCTCTCTCTCTCTCTCTCTCTCTCCTCGCAGGCGTTGCACTCTTCGGAGCAAGCCCGTGTGGTCGAGCAGAAGACGATGGTCTGCTGCGCATGTAAGAAGGAGATTGGCTCCTTCGACACGGTCCTCGACTCGAGCCGTGGACGCAAGGTGTAGGAAACTCACGGCCTGTGAACCTTCCGACATGTCAAGTCTCATGCCCCGCCACTGAGCTCCAGGAAGCCCTTCGTCATCAGCTTCTGCACCGCCGAGTCATGCGAATCTCCCTGCGAACAAGTGGAAGCTCCGTTTTGTGCAGCTTCCGTGTCCACCTGCAAGTGATAGACAGCGAAGTTGTGCACCAGCTGGACAAAAGAAGCTCCTCCAGAGACCAGCAGACCAGCAGAGGGTCGCTGGCGTCACTCGTACAATCTCTCAGCCAGGATACCGGCCAGCTCGGTGACATGTCGCAGCCTCGCCCGCCAGGAGCTAAGCGTAGCTCTGTGTTACCGGATCGCGGATGGTTCAGCTCTGAGGCTCCTGCGAGAGGACGGGGCACTGGCAGCAGGCGCTCGGCATGGCTCAGCTCGACCGGAATGCCTCGGGCCGAGCCGGTGCAGTGTCGGCCTCGCCCCCCGGCCCAACGCGTTTTTGTTGCAGGTTTCTGCGGAGTCCTACAAGGCCCTCATCGCAGCCTGCCAGGCTTCAGCTGCCACGACGGCAGGCCGGGACCGCCGGGACCGGATTCCCAACAAGCTTTTGCGTGTTCTGGAAGGTGCGGCTTTGCTGCGCCAAATGCACGGAAAAGTCACGGACCCTGGCTTCACTTGGCTGTGGACCCTGGCGAAGCTGCAGCTTCAGGAGGCTCCACAGCATTCCCCAGTGTGGTCCGGGGTTCGAGACTTTCAGAGCAGAGATTGCGGGAAAGCCCTCAGCGACCTCAGAAAGTTTTGCGAGGCTGAGCTCCGCGCCTGTGCCGTTCTGGCTGCCATTCGGGCGCTCGAGGCTCCCTTTGGGGATTACGAAATGTGCATCACAACGTGTCAAAATCCAATGCTCAGGGAACTGTCTCTCCGGCGGAGTTCGCGATGCCTGCGACTTAGATCTGCAGAGCCCGGCCGCGTGCAGAAGCGGCTGAAATGGGTCATCCCGAAGCGGAAGCTCAGGGTGTCCTGGTCGCTGGCCACACTCGGTGCCTCGGACAGAGGTCGTCTCGCAATAACTTCAGAGACCTAGAGCCGAGTTCGTGTTGCCATGATGATCCTGGTATTACTCCTCGCTTGCCTATCAGTGTTGTGCGGTGCCAGAGTCCTCATGCTGAGAAAGGTTACGAATTCCCCGGGTGCTGTAAGTAGAGGAACCCCAATCAGGCACTCATGACCCCGGCTACAATCTGCTTACGTACGCATTCACCCCCAAGCCTTAGACTCTGGACCATGTACATCCCTACAAGAAGCCAAAGATTCGCACAGTCATAGTTCTGAAAGACGCGCGGACTGTCAAGCTGAAGTCACAATGAACATCAACAAGTTCCCCTCGCGATGTCGCAACACACAAGCCCTTATGGCTTGAAAGTTCTGAGCCCGAGCCCTGAGACACTATCCTCAAGCCCATAAAGTCTGGCAACAGGGAATATGTCGGTGCAAGAGCATCTCAACCTTGTGCCTATGAGGTGTTGCAAGCCCACAGTTTCGAGCCGCGTGCTCCCGACAAGCTTCCTCGCTGCATCGCTTCACCACAGAGGATCAACCGCGAGGGCCTTCCAGATTGTTGAGATGATGTATGATATGCCTCACGAGAGCGGTTCAGTAAGAGCAAAGATCGAACAGAAGTTCCCTGAGTCCATTGTTTCCGTCAGTGATTGAAACTCATAGTGGTTGCGGTATTACTTCTCATGCTCTCCACTGTTTGGTTATTTGTTCCAATGCCCTTCTGCAGGTGTCCTTCTTCCGCACCTACTCGTCCTTTTCCGATATTCCGTGTTTGCAGTCCCTATTTATATGCTTTGCTTTGCTGGTTGTATGCGAGTCTTGCCGAACACTTGGCTGTGTGGACTCTACTCTGTATCTTGTTACCGTCACCCGTATATAATTCCTCTTCCCGTTCAATTTTTGTTTTCTGGCTCATGACATCTGTCTTCGGGCATATTGCAATTTACTCCATCTTGTCGTCGTTTCAAGTCGACCGCCCCCGACTGCAGCACAAGTGCGAATGGGGGGGTTGCATGCATGCATTAGCTTTCCTTGAGAATGTGCTTTCCTTGGTCGAGCCCTCGCCAGCATAACGTTGCGCTAAAGATACTTGTCTCGTTTCCGCAAGACTGCCGTCGTGTGTAGGATAGCTGACCTGGCGTCTCGTTGCTAGCCCGGCCTGCTCACTGTGGGGCGTGTTTTCAAGCAGTTTTAAGCGCCTCCCAGGAGCTTGGCCATCTTGCCTTCGGCCTTGCAGCTTCCCCGGATGCAGAGGCTCCACAGGGCAAGTGTCTTCACCTGCAAGCTGCCAGCACAAGGGTCGGATGCAGGGGCAGAATGCAGAAAGTGTTGTTGTTCATTGCATGTTCGGAGGTCTTCTTGCAGCTGCAACGAGAAGTTCGTGCACGTGCCTGCGACAAGAAATGATGGTCTTTGGTCGTTCCGGGCAAGTGTGCTTTCCTGACAGCTGCTCATTGAGATGAGAACTGAGTTGTCACGATCTACAGCCTGAGGGTTTGCCGAGTGTAGAAGCTTGCCTTGGGCACGAGCTGTTCGCCTGAGCTGCCCCGAGGTTTGAAGATGGTGCGCTGGACTCAGGTTGCAGCACCTCTTCGGCGAAAAGCATTAGAGGCACTGGGGTCAGTCTTTTCTGCCTTGGCCGAGCTTCGGGGAAACTGTGGAATTGCTTGAGGACGACCTCCTGAATGTCCTTTGGTCCTGCAGTTTTGCCGGCCTCTTGTCTTCGTGAGCCAAAACACGATGGTTTTCCCGTGTGTTTGCACTTATCCCTAACCCTCTCCTGTATCTGTTTCTTAAGTCATCCAGAGTAAACGTGCTCATTGATAGGTCGCCGACTAGCTATATAGCTAGCTAGACATAATTGTGTCTGCATGTTGTGTACACGTACGTACATGCACATACATGCATACAGAAACATCCACAGGCTCGTACTATGTATATATATATATACATATATATATATATATTATTTGTGTTATGTATGTACACACATACATGCATCCATACAGGTGTATGTGTATATATATATATATATCAACACATACACATATATGTACCTGTGCCACGCAATTGCTTCGACGGCGGTACGGCAAGGTATGCACATGTTTGTGTGTAGATTACGCGCACACCTGCTTATGCAAGGTCCATCACCTCACAATTGTGTTCGCATGCATGCACTCATGAGATCGGGCCTCATATGTTACCTGCATTTACAGTCACACGACACGGTTTTGTCATCAGCACACACTTGCTCGTTTGATTCAAGGTGCCGATCAGCAGTCGATAATGTCTCGGACACCCCTAGCACCAGAGACTGGCACTGTCTTGCTGCTCAAGCCTCCATCCCTCCAACAAAATCGAAAGCACCTAAAGCTCCAAAAGGGGCTGCCGCAAGTCCCGAAGCTGCTGTCGCCCCGCCGCCCAACTCTGGAAAATGCCCGCTTCTCAGGCGCCGTGGATCCACCGCTGCGCAGAGCACTTGGCCGCTGCTTCCGGGCACTTGGCGCCAGCTTGGACAAGAGGCGCCGATAGACACCGGCATGCGCGTCGTTCGAGGAGGGTTTTACATGCAGACGCTGAGAGAAAGACTGGCTCCAAGTACACTGGCCTGCATTCCGAAGCGACAGGTTTCGGAACAGCCCCGCTCCGCTGCACTCCAGCCAAGCTTTGACTGGGCCTTCCGTCCGGCTGGAGCTTTGTGACCGAGCCTCGGCGATGAAGCGCTTGGTCGAATGCAGGCACCTTTTCTGGTCTTCAAAGCTTAGCCTCAAAGAAAGACTGAGCCCCTTAAAGTCTTGAAGAGCCTTAGCTGAGGACTAGTCCTTTTTAAGCTTCTTGGCTGCATCTGAGCAATCTAGTTTGGCGCGAAACGAATGGAAGCTCAGGCCAGTGGGTTGGGAAGTTTGCGACGGGAACGTCGGTCGGCAACTTCGACACTTCGTGAACTGGAAGGGCTCATGGCCCATTCTGCAGAGCCTCCCCGCTGCACTGGAACAGAGATTCAGACCTCCAGTTGGCCCCGTCACATCTGAGGTGCACAGCATGACTATGGATTCCTGCACCGGGTGGACGTTCCATGCTCTGGGTTGATTCTCTTTGCGAAGAGCTTTCGAGCATACTACGACTTGCAGGTGCTCAGCTTAAAGTTCAGTTGGATCGCCACTGAGTCGCTGATTGAGCTTGCTTTGAGTCTTTATGACAAAGCTTCCGCTTCTCGACCCTGAAACGCCTCTCCGGACAGGTGCAGTTGAGAGCCGGAGACACTCAGCTGAACGTTTCCTGGGCCTTAGTTGCAACCTCTGTAAGCACGAGAAAGTCTCCAAGCACCCGTAGAAAGCACGGCGATCGATGCACTCGTAGACCACTCGCGCAGCCACGGGCTCGAAAGGAGCAGTTGACTTGCGGATGTCAGGCGTCTTGTAATGTTCGTGGGCCCAAGCAGACAGCGCTCAGGAGTGGCTTTCGCTTCAAGGCCATGTCCAGCTGTGCCGTTTGCACAAAAGCCGCAGACGCGGCTTTTGTGGAAGCGCACAGCCGTCGTGCGGTGGGCTTGGGAGTTCTACTCGGCGGTCTCGGATGCTTGTGCGTCGCTGGCAGCTGGTGAACGTGGGCAAGAGCTGCGAGGCCTGGCAGAGGTGAGGTCCGTGCGCCGCCATCGACGGACAGCTTTCTTAGATGTCGGCAACGCAGCTACGACGGCTGTGACGAGAAATAGCGGCGAAGTCGACCAGGAGCTGCTTCAGGTCGTGGTGCCGCTTGAATCCGAAGTAGGAAACATACGTCTTCTGAGGCCGGGAATTCTCTTAAGTTTCTGCGGGGTCGCGGGAAGGACACGTCGGGGCCAGGCATCACTTTTCGCAAAGAGTTTTACAGCCGAAGGCTTGACGTCTGCCTCTCCCGCCTTACTGGCATCGCTCCTTAGTTTCGCCTTGGCAGGGGCTGTGCGACGAAAGGACCTTTGCTGCTGGTTGCAAATGTCAGAGGTTGAATTGGAGAACGTGCTTTTGTGGGACGAGCCTCGTCGACGGAGATTCTGCTCGCGACGTGCACGCTTTCTTCGCTTAGGGCGGGATCATCGTGCCAGGAACCGACGACGGAGCATGACCGCAAAGGAGCACCGTGCGCTGGAAGAGTTTAGAGGCTGGGCAGACATGCTGCGCAGCTATGCCATGCCGTTGCCGCAGGACGTTTCAGATACCGCAAATGCCGTGCTGGGCCCCGCGGATCCTGTTGCCAATCTTGGCGGAGCGCGCCTGCATCTGGCGAAATTTTCGAAGCGCAAGAAGCGGCCACAGGTTTCTGTGATGACCAGACTTGTTTCAGAGCTTGGCCAACTTCGAAAGGACGGCGCTGATGGCCAGGCCGACCCAGTAGACGTCGTGGACATTGTGGACGTCGGCGGAGGTCGTGGTGATCTGGCCATGGCTGTGGCGGCTCGTGTGCCAGGTGCAAAGGTCTCGGTGATCGAATCTTTCGCTCCCTCAGCGCAGCAAGGCCAGCATCGTGCAGGTGAACTCAACTTGGATGTTGACTTCCATATTTCGAAGGCAGAATCACTGGCCCCTGCGTTGGAGGCACAAGAACGGCGTCCGATTGTAATGGCTTTACATGCGTGTGGTGGCCTCACCGATGTTGCTTTGGAAGCCTGTGCCAAGCTTCGACTGCCCTTCTGCATCTGCCCTTGCTGCTATGCATCACAGCCCCAGTTGCGTTCGAGAGCCTTTGCACCTCAAGAGGACATTCTGCAACGACTCGCGGAAAGCAACGGCTTACCTCGTGATGTCTCTCAGCTGGCAGCCTTTGGCATTAACGGAATGAGGCTGCGTCAGTTGGACCCTCTTGCCCCCACCTCGACACCGGAACTGCCACCATCCTGGAACGTGCGTGTCTACACCTTCCCGCACGAGTGGTCCTCCCGAAATATGATTCTCTGGGGCCATCCGCAGGAATGGAAACAGAGCGCGGGCTTCACTTCTCTAGTATCTCTTGAGCCCCCAATGGGCCACTGACCTTGGCCTTGTATCGACGTCTAGCTAAGACGTGCAAAGGAAGCTGTTGCTTTGCCAATTTGCCACAACGGTAACATGAAGCAGCCCCGCGGCCAAGCCAAACCAGAGAAAAGTAGTATTAATATGCTGTCACACATCCCAGAAGCTCAAAGCCTGATCGGCAAGAATGCCTCAAAGCTTCAGCTCAGGAGATTCGGCGTGACTACTGCGTCTTGTGTCGTCGTCTCAGCTCTGCTAGCATGGGAAGAGGATTTGTGAGTCTAGTTGCTCACCTGCCTTGCTGATATGAGGCCACGGATGGTTCGCACAAGGACAGCGCAGGGTGAATGCCCTCGTGACATGGCGAGGACTGCCATGGGCTCCCTGCTCTGCTAGTTCCACGCACTGCAAATCCCTCCACCTTAACAGTAGCAGGATTTGGTAAACTAGTTTAGATGCTCCAGCGAACTAGCCAAAGTAGTTCAGGTGTACGCCTAGGTTTGTGCTGAGAAGTCGACAGCACTTGAGTTGAGGAGATGGGCCAACTCGCTCCGGCAGTGTCGGAAAACATGCACGCACAGAATTCAAGGCGCGCGTGTTGCTGGAATGAATTCCACGGTCCCCGCTTGGTATGGGGAAGGCGCTGGCTCACATTCTCCTCCAATTTGGCACTGCAACATTGACGGTGGCAGCTTCATTGCAAGATCATCGACCTAACGAAACCCTGGAACTCCTCCGCCCTTCCGTCTTGACTGACACTGACTGGCTCTGCAAAAGCCGTATATCGAGGTGCGGATTGCAACCGGCCGGCGTCATCAAATTCGCAGCCACTGTTCCTTTATGGGACACGCAGTGGTTCGGGACGAGAAGTACACCGCACCTTGACAGGTCAAGATCTTGGTTGTGCGCTGTCGCTTTGCGCCATCTGCCTTGCATGAGCGACGTTGAGATTCGTCAAGGCTCTGCAAACACAGGAATTGGATTTCCATTTCTGCGACTCTATCTTTTTGCATCGACATTCCTTGTTTTTTCACGACCTTGGCAATGGCGAGCACGCGGCTTGGATTGCACTCATGGTCGTATGACCACTCCCTGTGATGGTGCCGGGGCCAACAGCCAAATCATTTTCAACCGAGGAGGTGCTGGATCATTTGCCTTCCGACCTCATCTCTGCGCTTGCTGGAGCAGCTGGGAAAGACCCAACCTCTACTGCTGCACTGAATCGCTCCTTGGCAGCACGGAATGATCTCCCTGCTTTTGCTTCAAGTGCTCTATCGGACAATGATGCGAGTCAGGTGTAATTCATGGTGATTTGAAGAATTGGGAGCTGCCGCGTGGCGAAAGGGATGGCGGCTTGCAGGTCTCAAAATCCTTTGTGCACCACGACTCGGGCCCCCCGAGGTCAGAGCCGATCACCTGCAGAATGCTACCTCGCAAGAGCAAAAGGATCGCGCGTGAGAGCTTGAATGCTCAGAAGCAGTGTCGAAAAACAAAGTTGCCTTAGTTGGCGCACCTCGAAGTTGCTCAGCTTTCTCGTTCCACTCTGTGGGCTTATCGAGCGATGGAATGCAGTCTGAAGCAGAAGAGTGCGCAGCATAATATGGGGCTGCAAGCCTTTGCACGCCAGCGAGCCAGCTGCATATGGGCGACAGTGGCATGAGGAAGCGCCCGAGACAGCTATGAGGCTTTTGTTCGTCCCAAAGTAGGCGATCCGTTGCGATGTCATGCTGCTTCACCTCGCAGGTGAAAGCTCATGGCGGGCTTTGCCGGCAGGCTTGCAGACACGCTTCCACTAAAGGACGGCCCCAGCGGCGATTCGAACTTGGGAGCCAGTTCTGGGCAGCTCTTGCTATACACCCACGCAACTCTGCAGGAGCACTGGTGCCAGCAGACACCCAGGGAAGCTGCACAGGCCGACCTTTGGCGCAGAATTTGGCTGATCGGGACGGTTTCCGGATCTGAGGTCGCCCGCAGTCTTGCGCAACACCGGAAGCTGCAAGAAGCACTGGATTTGCTCGGTTCACTGCGAAGCGTGCATGTCCCAGCAACCAGGCATGCACTGGGATGGACTTTGCATGTACAGGCGTGGTGAAACAGTTCAGGCAGTTGATGCCATCACTTTCAACATCGCCATCAACTCCTGCTCCAAGGTTGCGATCTGCCATTGCAGGATTGCTAAAGGTTCTGCCTTGCCGAGCCATTCGATTTCTCGAAGGTCAAGCATTGGGTCCTCGCCGAGAAGTTCTATTCCGTAATGCGTGCAAGCTCCGTGCGTCCCACGGCGGTGACCTTGAACAGTGTGCCTCGTTGAAGAATGTTTCCGGCCTCGTGCCGATTGCAACAAATCGAATGCATGTCCAATGCGTACTGCGGAGGTGGTCAATGCCCACGAGCGGTCCGGCAATTGGCAAGCTGCATTGGGTCGCCTAATGAGCTTCCAGACTTTGGGCGTGAGCGCAGACGTGTCTTAGCGCAAGATCCTGTTCTGGTCTGCAGGAGTGTTTTTTTCAGCATAGCGAGGCTATCAGCTTCAACACTGCGATCACAGCGTGTGCTCGGGCGAAGCAATGGAGCTTTGCTTTGAGTATACTTCGTATCAATGAGGCCCAGAGCTTCAGACTTCGAAACTGTCTTCGAGTTTCAAAGGCATGATATTGCACTCCACGGTCAACAGGACCTCATGGAAGACAGCATTGGTTACAACGCTGCTGCGAGTGCATTTGAGAATCTGGGCACTGTGTAAGACAGCTGTCCCTCAGAAGCCTCACGGCTTGGGTTTTCGGGTCTGGTGCTTCGGAGCTTCAAAGTCACAAGTTTCCAAAGTAATTCAAGAGTCTGGAATATTCCAACAAAGCTCCCAAGACGAACCTTTAATGCCTCGGTGTCCCGATGCTTGAGTAGCTAGCCGCTCTTGGTCGTCATTCACGAGTGAGCAGCATAGATTCTTGTTCGATTTGAGTTTTCTGTGTCACGCATGCTCAAAATACGTCTCAGACAAAACCTGGCTCGTTCGTGCGCCCGTTTTGGTGTCGAGTTCTGCCCCGGCCCCAGGAAGGTGCAGCTCTGGCGCAACGTCCTCGACCTGCTTCAGTCAATGAAACTCTGCTGAAAACGCCCCCTACAAAGTGCGGAAAGAGAGTCAACACGATGTCTGCGTTTTGAGGCATGTGGTCCGTGCTGAAGCTGACCATTTTACCTTCAGTACGACTTTGTCTTCGCTTTCGGGAGCTGAGCTTTGGCAGACGGTTTTCGCTTGTTGGCAGGACATGCAGGCCCTTTGCAGCTCTAAGATTGATTCCTGTGTTAGCATCCTTCCATGCTCTGCACCGAAGCAGGTCCTCACTGACAACTTTGTCCTGAGCACCCCGGCTTTGATACCTCTGCTCTTTGCTTGTCTTGGGATCCCCGGTTGCTTGTATGATCTTTCGCGTCTGTTGGAGCAGGTGCCATTGTCAAAGCATGCGAAGCAAGTACCCAGTGGCGTTTGGCGATGCATTATCTGTCTGATCTGGAGGCATGTAGACCTGCAGTAATCAGGAAGTGCAGAGTCCAAACGACGATAGCAATCCGGTTTAACTGCGGTGGCAGGACAGGCAACTTCAGCCCGACGTCGCGCTTCTCAACAGCGCCATCAGCGCAGCTGCGAAAGCAGGTGAGTGGGAACAGGCATTCTCCCTGATCAGCTGCCTGGCAGAAGAAGAGCCTAGCACAGATGGAGCAAGGATGTAGCTGAGCAAGCCCAGTCCACAGACCCTAAAGCGATGTCCAACCCAGGCCTGAATGCTCTCCTGAGCTGCTTTTGACTGTTTTCTGATGGATTTGCAGTTATTTCATGTTGCGTTGTCCTCTGCGCTTCCCGTGGCGCTTGTGCTTGTCTTTGGCTTGCTTTCATGTAGCGGACTTTGGGGGACGGTGGTCCTTGCTGTTGCACGTGTGAATGCCTGTGTGGTTGTGTTACAACTGCAGATTCTGCCGTTGCGATTCTGCTTTTGCTGTTGTTGTGAAATCTAGTGCCACACAGTTGGATGTGGCTTTCAGTCCTTGTTCCCAGCGCGGCAAATTCATCTCCCATCTTCACTCGACGGTTGCAGAATCCGTTCCATCGATGGCCTTGCATATTCACGCACTTTATGCTGCAGCCAGTTTCATGATCCCTCAGAAAGTGTTTCGACCACAACCCCGCAGAAACAATTCTCTTTTCGAGTCAACGGCCTTTCACCTGGCCCCTTGTCCGGTCGACTCGATTTCGCATCATCAAGCAGAGGTCGTTCCAGCATCGAAGGCTTTCTCCACTGGTCCCTGTTGACCAAGCGCCGGCTGTTGGACTGTCTGCAACAGCCCTGTCAGATGGTCAAACAACAAATGTGCAAAATCTTCAATCTTGATCCCCACCACAGCGTCAAGCACAGGCTTTTCGGCCCTTGGATGACAATTCTCCTAGTCTCCCGGTTGATGCTGAACAACTGCCGCATAACAACCCTCAGTGTTCAAGAAATGTTTTCGTGACGGCAGCCTTCTGGTGTACAGACACAGCCTTTTGAAATGCATCTTCCCTCATCTGCACCAAGCAATAATTCGAACCAGGTCCCTTTTTATAAATGTCCCAGCGCTCAAGAGTCGGACTCCGTATGCCCTTCGAAGCCAAGGCTCTCTCCGGCATGCTTCTTTGGAGCCAGTGGCGTGGTGGAATGTACAGAGCGCCAGCCATCCCGTTTGCCACGCAAACCCAAAACCTTGGTGGGGTTGAGGATGTCATCACCTGGGGCGCTGCAGCCACCGCTTGAGAGACGGCCGCACCTCATGTTCCCCGTTTGATCCCCTAAGTTTTGGATGTGCTCAGACCGGCCTTGCTTTTCTGCATGAAGAACGAATGTTGGGTTGAGGTGAAAGAGCTGCGCAATGGAGAACAGCCATTGCACTGCTCAAGAGCATGAGGCGTGGCTCTTATTATGGCTTCTCTGAGCAGTGCATCACTCAGATTTGCGAATTCTGCTTGCTGAAGTGTCGCATTGCGTGAGGCATTGTCGAGCGCAGCCGAATGCGTGTGTTTGCAACGCGGTGCTGAGCTCTTGTGAAAAGAGCGGCCAGTGGGAGCAAGCTCTTCTGATGCTAGATGTCATGACTCTTGGATTCAATCGGCGCGCTTGACCGGCCTAGCCCACAAAAGCTTCTGCACAGGAATGCTTCGGAAATCTTGCCCGATGAGATTGCATACAACGCGACCATCAGTGCCTGCAGCCGTGCCTCGCCAAAAAAGACAGGTCAGTAGCGCGGGCGTCCGTTTGCCTCGTTCGATGCTGTACACTCTGAGGCACACACTGGCAAATGTCTTTGCACTTGCTCCATGTTATGAACAGCCGATCTGTCAGATGTGCGACCTTGTGGCATGGCAAGTCATGCTGCTCATATTCATGTCCAGTATTACCAGCCATCCTTGACACCTTTGACCGAGGACACGATATCATACAATGCTTGCATCACTGCATGTGAGCGTGGCGGTCGCTGGCAAGAAGCACTTGCTTGTTTGCACGTTCCTCACTCAGTCCACAGCTTTCATGAAAACCGCGATTTGACAAGACTGGCAGTCAAGGCCATGTCAGCACGGAGTATTTTGATCAACACTGTGAGCTACAATGCAGTCCCTTGGTTTGCCTATGCCGAGAATTGGGAGTTCCTTTGCATGGCTTAGGGTCTAGGACTGTGACGTTTGCAGTTCAGATTCCCGAATCGGACGTTTATTTGCAGATGCGTCAATCGGAGGGGAGCTCTATGCGTTGTGGGATCCTTAACGGAGCGGGGTCCAAGGGTGTTCCCAATTCTCCCCAGTCGAATCCCCTTCATGATATCTTTGACCTTCGGGCACATGGGAAAACTCAATCCCAAGGCGATTGCAGCGAGTGGAAGACAGCTTCGCTGGAAAGAAGCTTTGCATCTTCTTTGGAGCATGGAGTTATTTCGACTCTGTCCAGATGTCGCTTGTCGTCAAGTGAAGCTGCGCTGTCCTACCGAGTACCTGCTGACATCAAGCGTCAGGTTGTGTAATCTGTGAAGGTGGTAACCTACAATGCAGCACTTGCCGCTCTTGGAGATTCGCGAAGTTGGAAAACCCTTTGCGCACTGTTCCACGACATGCGCCAACATGTCATCCAACCAGAGACTTAGCTGCATGGTTTGGCCATGTTTTCCAGCAGTACATGACCAGTGTGTCTTACTGAAGCTAGCTCTGCTCAGGACCTCGTGACATTCAACACTTCTCTGAGTGTTTGCTTTCACTGGCAAACAACACTCTTGCTTTGGCACTTGATGGTTCAAGATCGAGTTTGGCCAGTTCCGACCTTAAATCGCGAAGAAGGGCGCTTTGCTTTACACTTACTCGCAACAGCTACATCGCCGATTTTCAAGGATCTTTTGACATACAACTCCTTATTGACTTCACTCCGACACCATCAGAGCTGGCAGACTGCGCTGTCTCTTCTTGGAGAGATGAAGCTAGCCGTCGCTTTGGTTCGCAGTGCAGTTTTGTGGCTTTGCATCGTGACGATGCTGCTTGAGATGCAAGACAAATTGTCTTTCATGTTAGTCGATTTCCGAGGTTTGCAAGCCGACGACAATTACCTTTGAAGCACTCGTCTCTTGTGGAATTCACAGCAACTTGGTGGACAGGATAGTGGTCCAACTGCAAGATTGTTTTGGACACTTTTCCCCTTAGGACAGCACCTTCCGAAGTACTTGGAGGCTGCCCAAAGGCAGATCATTTGTGAACTGCATGTTATGGCTAAGCTTTGACCTTGGCAATCGCTGAGACCGACGGATGGAAGGAAACGAGTCTCAAGATGGAAGCAACCGCAAAAATAATGTATCATGATTTTTGATGCCCGAAGTTGCAAACAGAAAACTTACCCTGTGCGACTGCGTGAATTCCTCGTTGCATGGCGGTTTGCGAACACGCAATCATCAGTACCTGTCGTCAACGTGTCCACAGCAATTCCTCCTTGTTGTCTTGCACTGTCGCTCGCAGCATTCATTCTCGAAATTGCTGATTTCACTCGGTATGCATCACAATCACACCGTGCATTTTTTGGGCTGCAACCATCCCCCGCAATCCCCCTGCAAGCAGTCGCAACTGTTTAGGCTCGCAGTTCTTCTTTGTTGTCAGGCCATTCCCTTCAGGGTTGACTCTGCGGTTTACGGACAAGCATGATATTTTGTCCCAACATGTGGGGAAAGGATGCTTTGTCCTGCAAACACACCAAACACACCAGAGGTTGCCATTCTGGAGATGTTTTCTGGTCTGTCTGTGGAACGGACAATGAGAACACACCTTGCAATCCAAGCCTTGTTGTACCCAAAAGCCAAATTTGGAAGCACCGTGGTGAGAACACAAGCAGTATCTCCAAAATTTGCGTGAGACTGCCGCAAGGGAGCAGAGAAAGCACAATTTCGAATTCGCCGAACAAAGCTGAAAAGCCTTCTCGCCGTTTCGCAGAAGGAGGAGTGTCGAATGCCTGTTAGAAAAACCGCGGAAGCATGTTGACTTTGTCGGCGAGGGTGTTGCGCACTCAGCGGACAAGGTGATTCGCGTTCTGGCTCGAGTCGGTCGTGTTCTTCGCGTCTACATGGCGAGCACCCACGGAGAAGCTTTGTTTACATTTGTCGCGTCCGCAGCGGACGATGCGGAAAGCGTTACAGGGAGTGTCGATGGTGTCCCGTGACTTGCCAGCTTTAGTGATATAACACTTACACAAGTCGAATGCATACTCCAGACATGGGTTCGTTATGCTTGGGCTTTTTAAAAAAACCTATTTAACGGAAAACATATAAATTATGATCTATTATTGATATTATATTGCTCCGAGAATAACCTTTTGAATATAATTTTTTATAAAATTTAGAATAAATATGAAATTTCTATATCGAAATATTTGAATTTCGGAGACTAAATAAATTGCGAAATAAAATAATTTAAAAAAAAAAAAAATAATTATAAAATATTCATGAATATTTCTATTATAAAAAATCGAAATTTCAAATTATATATATAATTTGAGAGGTTTGGGATACTATTAATAATTACTAATAATTTATAGTTATATAGATTTTATAAGTCGGGAATATATTCTCGATATTTTAAGGTAAATAATATTTTATTGATTCTGGAAATATCGGATTCTTTATATTAGAGTGATGTGGTCGATAAAAATCTAGTTTATGGGAATTATATAAAAACTTGTTGATATATGGAAAATCGTAGAAATTATAAATTTTATATTGAAGATAATATGATATTATTAAATCTATGAATTTAGAATTTTTTTGAATTTAAGAATAGTCAATTTAAAATATTCATAATAATAATCTTAGATATTTTATAATTTTTTTTTAATTGAATAGAACTAAT